CTCTCTCTCTCTCAAATAAATAAATAAAATCTTTAAAAAAAAAAAAAAAGAAAAAGAAACACAGATCATGATTAAAGTCCTTTCAATAGGGTTATGCATCATAAAAACCCAACCTACCCGTGTCTGAGAGGATATGTTAGCGTTACCTTCTCTGTAACCTGAAAGTCAGAGTATTTAAATAAATTATAACAAAGTGGGATGGCTTGATCAAAGGCTGAGGTGTTTGGAGGCATAAGCCCCTATGATCCATTCCTAAGGGTCTTTTCCGGGACACCTCCAAAGATGCTTGGCCCAGCCAGCACCCTTGCCAGAGGACGAGCTCAGGGACAAAGATAACCTGGAAGAACAGACAAAACTCGAAGGAAGCTTCTGGAGCTCATCAGTCTCAAGAACTTAACAGGAACTGAAAATCCACGATGGTTTTAGTAGAACGTGACCTCAAGTATTATTTAAAGATTGCAAAAAGAAAGGGAAAAATGATCTTTTTAATTGTTACACAAACCTAGAGCTCAAGTAAACAAAATTGGGGTTAAACATTTTAATACACTCCACCCAGAAGCAGCAGACAGGGGAGGGTCCACAAACTTCTGCCAGCTACCAAGTGGTAGAACCAAGTTTTCTGAATCTAGCCTATTCCTCCTTCTTGGTTTTTGGCACTCCCTAATTACCATAGTGACTGCTCCCAGAACAGTCCTGACTTCCCAGTCCTCATGTGTCCTGTCTCCTTGACTCATTACCCTCCCCATCCCCCCACCAGCCCTGGCAGCCCAGGCACTCACGTCCAGCTCCCCATCGTCGAGCTCCCCATCATCATCCTCCTTGTTTTTCTCCTTGGCGGTCTCCAGGGGCTCCTTGTCTTCCACAATGTGAACGCCTGTAGCCCCCTCGTCCCCAGGAGCTCCTTCTCCCTTCTCCTCATCATCCTCGGCGCCAGCCTTCTCGGCCTCGTCCTCCTGCCCAGCGGGGGCCGGCTCCTCAGGGACCTCCTCATCATAGTCTAACTCATGCTCATCCAGGTCCCTGGTGACTGACGAGGCTTCGTCCCTCAGGTCGCTTGTGTGCTCTTCCTCCCCTCCGTCCCCCTCCTCCACATGCGGGGGGCTCGTGGGGCCCCTGCTCAGATCCTGAGCCTCGGACTCCTGGTCCTGGTCCTCCTCGTCAGAGTGACTCTCCTCCTCCTCCTGGCTCAGTCCCGGGGCGGCATTGTCTTCATCCTCCAAATCAGAAGCCCTCCCCCCAGCTCCGTCTAAATCCTGATCAGACCCACTCTCCCTCAGAATGTCATCGTCCGAGAGCCCCTGCTGCTCCTCTTCTTCGTCCTCTGGAGAGCGAGGGTCCCGTTCAGGGCTCTCGGCCACATCCATCGGTACCTACAGTTCTGCAAAATAAAGAGAACACAGATGCACAGCAGTTAGCAAAACAGAAAGTCAATCTTGGCCTGGTTTTCTTGGCCCCATTCTCATTCCCGACCTGCAGGAGGGACCAGGACCTGCACCTCTCTTGGCCCCACACAGCTCCTCCAAACCCCAGACCCCACTCCACAGACCACTGCTGCCGGCTGTTCCAGCAGGAAGGACGCTGGCTGGCCCTGCACACAGTACCTCCACAAGGCTGCACGTAGTCCCTAAGCTGTGTCTAAGTGCCTCACATCTGCAGCTCTCTGGCAGAGAACTGGAATACTCCTTCTTGGCACAAGCACAACCCGGCAGGTAAACAGAAAGTGAGCAATAAGATACGCATTGCAAGGGACAGCTTTCTGGATTCTTAAATTATTTTTAAAATTCCAGAAAAGTTGCATTATGGAATGAGGCAACCAAATTAAAGGCACGCTGCTATTTTTCCTGGAGCTGCCCTCAAGGGTCTGGAGCAGAAACCCTGGCCGGCCTTGTCCCCAGGTCATGGGCTTTGTCCTGTTCCTGAATGCACTTCTCCAAGCGTGGCCGCGACTGCCCCATCAGAATCACTCGGGATGATCTTTGAAAATGCAGACTTTGGGCCTTCTCACAGATCTGTATGTCGGGGCCACCAGCAGACGCTCAGAAAGTGGCGTTCATCCATGCATGCTGTAATTATCTCACAGAACAGTGGAGAACCGTCATTCTAACACAGTATGTCATGGAAAAGACCTCTGGCAGAAAATTTTATGTATCTGAGTAGTTTCCTATGTAAAAAGACCGTCATTTTAGAGGATTTTTTTTCCTATTTTTACTAAGCTAGACATAATCATAAAGTGGACATTTTTTCGTTTTCCCACCTCCCTGCCCAATGACAGGACATTGTTCCCTTAGTTTTAAATGTAAATTGCATAGAGTGGGACAGGAGTGTATGTGCACTAGACCAACACCAAAGAGCATCCACCAATGCAGCCTGGAGCAAGTCACTGCTGAACTAGTTTGAAATAAGAGGAACAGTGCAATGCTCAGTGTTTACTTGATTCTTCAAAATTTTAATTTAAAATTTTGTATGTCACAATTATGCAGCTTGGTCTCTCAGCAAGATCTGGAAACACACACATATAATTACATACTTTAAATATAAAGAATTATTTTATGCATTTATAGAACTAAAAACTAAACATGTATCTTTCAAGTTTATACTTTTGAAAGGAGAACCTGTGTTTAAAGATGCACATACCAAGAGATGGTATCTTAACCTACAATTAAAAATACTTTTTTTTTTTTGCAGTTAATGGAAATTATTATAATTGAGTACACATTAAGACAAATCACTTAAAATTCACCACTTTATAAATCAACTAAATGGTCAGCAAAAGAAATCTACAAACCAATCAATCCATTCACAGCCACAGTTTTGAAAATGATTCACTTTTCAGGTCTTCCTAACTGCACTATCCAGAGGTAGGACTATTGGGAGAATTTTTAAAAAGTCAGTCCTCAGGGGGCGCCTGAGTGGCTCAGGCAGTTAAGCATCCAACTCTTGGTTTCGGCTCAGGTCGTGATCTCAGGGTTGTGAGATCGAGCCTGGCATCGGGCTCAAGCTCTGCACTCAGCACGGAGTCTGCCTAAGATTCTCCCTCTCCATCTGTCGCCCCCACCCCACCCCCACTCATGCGTGCTCTCTCTCTCTCAAATAAAAAAAAAGTCCACAAACAATGGACTCTGTTGAAAATCAAGTAGAGCCCTACGCCCCACAGGGCAGAGCCTGTCCCTGTGCACAGCATACGTACCACCCACAGTAAAGATAAGCAAGGTGCCCGAGAGGTAAGGGCTTTTTGCTCTCAGCTGTCGCAGACGGCCTGAAAGGAGGGGGGTTAAGCAGCCACTCAGGGCCCCTTCCCCTTCCTTACTGAATAGTAAGATTTTCCTTTGTGCATGAGTCCTATGCCCATCTTTGCTTAGTTTTTATCACATTGTATTTAAGAAATCTTCTTCACAGGAGGGCAGTGACTTTCATCTCCCCAGCTGCTGAATCTAGACCTGTACGCTGTGGGCAGCCAGTCACATGGAGCTGGTTACTGAGCCTCGGACATCCTACTTGAAACCCGACAAATTCTTCCTTTTTTTTAAGGGGGGAGGGGCAGAGAGAGGAAGAGAATCTTAAGCAGGCTCCCATGTGGAGCCTGATGCGGGGCTCGATCTCAAGACCCTGAGATCATGACCTGAGCTGAAACCAAGAGTCTGATGCTCAACTGACTGAGCCACCCAGGCACCCCCCCCCAACAAATTCTGATTCTCACATTTTATAATCCAATGGCAACCCTGGAAACAAAATGACTTCTTACTTAAATCAATCAAATGTTATCTAAAATTATATGTCAAACTAGTTTAAAAATCTGCAACTGAAAAGCTGCAGAAAAGACCCAAGTCTGCTACTGGCCTCCCAACATCCTACCCTGCTCACAGCCACAAACTCTCATAGCCTGGTAAAAGCCCTTTTTGGGGCCCAGATGCAAACAGGTTCGCACTTCGGTTTCACTGTTACGATTAGATCCAAACTGCTTTTTATATTCTGGGAAACTGAAATCAAATCCTAGAGTAAGAAATGGAAGAAAAAGAGTACCTAACTTCAAATACCTGAACCAATGCAAAAAGCGGGCCAGGCCAGTGGGCAGTTTACCCCTTGGTGTGCTGCAGTTTTATGGGGCACAGAGACAGTACAACAGTGTGGGCTCTGCGTTAGAGCTGAAGCCCAGCCCCGCCGCTTCCTAGCTTCAGGATCCTGGGCCAACTACGTGCACTTGCCACACCTCAGTCTGTCTCTTCACCTGAAACACGGGGACAACAGTATCCACTTCACAAGGCTGTTGCAACAATTAGATAAGCCTGATAACAGGCCAGGCACAGGTTCCACATATTTGAACTTAAACTGAATTAGCGAGAGGACGAGTAAAGGTAATCCTCAACTTCTAAGAACCAGACTCCTATAACCCCTGTCAGACGCATTTCCAGTCTCTGGGTGCACTTGATTAATTCATTCACAGTTTCATTTGACAAACAGCTCTCTACCCCATGGCAGACTCTATCACTGCAAGGATGTCTGCAATAAAGCTGGCAGCCACCACCATCTGCTAAGAGATGGCCCCTCTGTGTCAGGTGCCTGACCAATCCTTCACATCAGCCTTCCAAATAAGCCACGTTCCCTGTCACAGATAAGGGGCCCTAGGCCACGTGGCCACGGAGCGGGTATCCTGGGACTGCAAATCAGAGCTGCTTCTAGGGCGTGTCGTCAATTACAGAGCCCCGCACTATGCATGAAATGAGCTGGGGCAAAACCTGCAGAGGAGCCCACCCCCTCTTCTTGCCACTGTTCCTACAGGAAAACGGGACCTGAGTTCCAAAGTAAGTTTATAAACTCTTTTTTGGAACAGAACCCACACATACTGGGGACTTCTACTGAACCAGTAGATTTTGCCTGTTTTTCTTTTCTCTCTTCTAAAGTTTTGTGCCGACCCATTTACACTTCTATCTTAGGCCCTCTAGAAACAAAAACATTCTCATGTACACAGAAAAGTTAACATACCATTTACATAGTCTATTAGTTAAAACAGTTATCAACATATGGAGGTCCAACTTGTGACACCAGTCATTTATTTTAAGCTTGCCTAAAGTTTGAATCTTACACATGTAAACTAAACATGAATCCAAGAAAAACCCCAAAGATGCACACCCTTATACTGACGCCACGGGAAATGCTGACTGAAATCACGATCCCGAGAGGCTGGTGTATCGTAGCAGGGAAAGTAATTTTAAGAAGTACTAACTGAGTACATCCCCCCACAGTTTAAATTTTGGACATCACTTCAACATTCCAAGGACACCAAGATAACTAACTTCCTGACTCTCAAAGGCAGTTTTCAGAGATGACCAGAAGGTGGCAGGGCGAAAGGTCCTGGGCGCACCCGCTACTAGGAGGGCGGCCTAGTGCTCTAGGGGAGTGGTGCTTAGCCTTAGGGGAGCATGGATTGATTTGAGAATCTTGATGAAGGGGATGGGATGGCTCATCTCCCTAGAAAAACCTGAATGTATGCAATTTATCTTCCACTTTAGGGAGTTCAAAATCCCGAGGCTTACCCACCGCTCTCAAATTGAGAACACTTGTGCTTAGTATATGTTATTCTAGTACATATCCACACTTACCACGCTGTCCACAACTATTTGTCTGCAAAGTCTGTTGGCAGACCCCTCCCCTCCATGAAGTACCTGAATAAAAGGGTTCAGACTCACCTCTGTGTTTCCCAAGGCCAGCAAACAGCAGTGTCCCATGTAATTTGTCTAAACTGGGTCATGTCTGAGACTGAAAAGGGGGCACTATTAACAATTCAAACAGGTGGGACACCTGGGTGGCTCAGTCGGTTAAGCATCTGCCTTCAGCTCAGATCATGACCCCAGGGTCCTGGGATGGAGTCCCACATCAGACTCCTTGCTCAGCGGGGAGCCTACTTCTCCCTCTGCCTGCCGCTCCCCCTGCTTGTGTTCTCTCCCCCTCCCTCTGACAAACAAATAAAATCTTAAAAAAAAAAAAAAAACCCAAAACAAACCAAACAAAAAATAATTACAACAGGCATGAAGAGAAGCTGTCCTAAACACACTGGGACACACAATCACCCTTAGGAGGCCCTGACAATTTCCTGAGGAGTCACATCTTTTCTTTACCTATGGAACCCCTTGGGATTTAACAGTATGAGGCTGCACACAGGTGAGCACCATGGAGAGAAAAATGTGCCAAAGAATCTACCTATTAGAAACAACCTGAGCCACACCTTGCTGCACAGAAGAGAAGTGTCACTGGGGGTCAGAAGATGGTTTGTGTTCCAGGCCCTGGGCTGGGCAGGTTCATGGTCTCACTGGGCATCTACGTCCTGTTTTGAGATGAATTCAATCTGGCAACCACCTGGGTGCACACTTTAGGTGAGGTGCTAGGAAGAACACGCAGCCTATCAAATGCAGACAATGCCATGGAGGGTCCTCTTGTCACATCTTCACCAACTCCCAGTTCAGGGTTTTTACTCAGTTGTTCTTCTCACACAATCACCTTGTAATTGAGGATTCTTGGCGAAGTTTAGAACTACCTCTTCGGTTCTTTGACCCACAAGATGGTGAACTTGCCCAGAGAACTGAATGACAAGTGTCCCATCACTGTGTTTCCACTGCACACTGCCTTTGGCAGACGATGCTCGATAAATGCTTGTTGAATAAATGACAAAATCTTGTTACTTGAGAAACTACCTGTTGCATACCAGGAAGAAACTGGAAATAAGGGCCCCGTTTTTAGAAGACTACACCAGAGTTCAGACCTGCAGGGGGCTGCCTCACCTCCCAGCAGCCACGCTGGAAGGCTGCACACTGATTCCAATGGCAATACTAAAGTGCAGAGCATTTTGGGAACTTCTCTGTTTGAGTGACCTTTAGAACACGCAAGTTCTTTCCTGGTGCTCTAGTAGCAGCAGGTATTCCTCCCCTCAAGGTAAGTCACTTTGAGAGGTCACAGGAGACCATTCAGAGCCTGGTCTGGTACATGAGGTGAGCTACCAAGCCAGGTAAGATGATTTGTGGTTAAACATAGGGTACGACTACTGAATGAGACCAATTTTCTCATATGACATATATTCACTGCCAAAACAGAAGTTATAAGGCGGTTCTGGCAAAGGAGCGGCAATGAAATACAAGCATAACCTTTTAAGATAGAGCAACTTTTAATAGAGCAATCCCTATTTGAATGCTCAAGTTCTGGTACACCTGGTTAAAAATTCTGATTCATAACTTCACAGATTTACAACATCTAAAGGAAGGACGTCAAAGTAGATGACAGACACCACCCCCAAACTGACGAAACTTGACCACCAAAACTCCCCAGGAAAGCAGCACTCACCTTGAGATGATCTGTAGCTGTGAAAAAGTGAAAAACCTTCTTATACATGAGCAAAGTCACAGCTTACCTGTTGGCTCTCTGGAATGATTCCACAAAGCTTTCTTACACCATTTGGGAATTCCCCACCCAAAACCAGAGAGGAGTTCCAGCCTTTGGGACACACATGTGCTCAGACTAGTAAAATCCTCAGGCAAAGACTCCAACTCCACTCCACCAGCAATAGGAGAGAAGTGAGTCTCAGAGAAGAAATGATGAGACATTGCTCTGCCCCCAGGAAGTACTACAGATGCCAAACACTCTCTTCTTCCATTTTCCCCAAACGGCTCGAACACTGACCTACTCTTGCAAAAGAGCTTGCTGAACAGAGCTCTCTTAAAATGATCAACCACTCTACACGGCAAATGCGCTGTCATAAAGTATTCGAGAAAACTTAACTTTTAGCAGAAGCAAGGCTGGAAGTGAAGTCTTAGGCTCCCCCAGCATGATAGCTACAGTAAGTTTATCCAAAGGACTCGGCATCCTTCGGGATCCTAAAGGAGCAAGGAAGTTTATGCCTAAGAGTGGAGCTCGAATTGGGGCACAGCCAATACATCCAACCTGTGCACACTGAAGCTGAGGGAGCAAGTTCCGGGAAGGTCTAGAGAGCTCAAAGTTCCGAAGAGCCCATCCCCAGTCCGGGCTGGTCTCCGCTGGAGGGCGAACCTGCCTGCCTCCCCCCCCCCACCCCCGCTGTGGGCGGCAAACATGTGCCACGCGAATGTCCCGGAAGAGAAATGACAGCTTCGGGAGAATGGACTCCACCGCGGGGCGCAGAGGCAGCCGCGGGGAGTTCGAGCTCCAAGTAGGTTCCAGGGCTCCCCGGGCCGGCAAGCCGCGGACCAAACGCGGGATCGTGCCTGTTTCCGCGACCCCTTCCCAGGACCTGAGAGCCACGCTCGGCCGGGGACACAGCCCGGAGCGCTCCCCGGAGGCGGCGGCGCCGGGGCTCCCGGGCCTCGGCTCCGCGCCGCCGCCACGCTCCCC